AACAGTTTGCTACTTCTTGCCCTCTCTCTTCCCCTTCCGCCCACTCTTTCCTCCGCCTCACCTGGGAAAAGAGAAATTTAGATTTTATCGTTTCTGACTGAGTCGCATTGCGTGGTTTGGATTTTGCAGCACAGTCTCGGTTTTGCATTCTTTTTTTCTACCACATAACTTCGTTTCCTAATAGCAGGAAGATAGCTATGCTGCCTTCCTCTCTCTCTGTCCTGCTTCCATCCATCGATTTTGTTAACTCACCATGGCATGGCAAGTTTCATTTTTGGCCAATGTCGTGCAGTGCCGCAAGTAAGATTTAGCTTATAAAAGCATTTTTTGAAAAATTTTAATAAAATATTTTAGTTCTTATAATTCTTCATTACTAAATTACTGGTTAGCGGCTTGGTAATTTAATGATGAAAAAATTGTGATAAAGCAGTTTATCGATTAACATTGAAAAACTATAGCAAGTTAATGTTGTTGGGGGGCGAATCGAAAAAGTGTTAGGGAAACATGCAGTGGGAGAAAAATGCATTTTTATGATTTGATAATAACTGCTGATTAAAAAAAAACAACTTACTGATGAGCCAAAAAAAGAAAAATTATCAAAAAACAGAGATTAAAAAAAAAAGGAAATTTTAAACTGTAGAAAATTTGGTGGTATCGAGAAAGATTGGAAATGATGCATGAATGCGTGAATCATAATGGACAAAAAGATAATAAGAATTATGTTTTTTTTCTTTTCAAAAAAAGTTTGTACTTGCAGCCTTAGTGAAGGGGAAGCATTTCCACTGTATCTTGGAAGTACATGTATTTTTTTTACAGAAATTGTATAAAATGTGTAGACAAAACGGATTACCAAAAGACTATGTAAGTGATATGCCACTACATATAATGCGTTTAAAAGCTGGGGTTTATAGAGGGAGGTGTGCATGAGTTTTTATGCTCAGCCTGAAGGTTGATGTTAATGGGAAATTGGCAGTCTTGAACACAACATCTAGAACCTTGCCTGTATAATAAATCCGGTACCAAGACTTTCGCAACTTGAACTTGAACCCAAAAGCGAGTGCAAATTACGCGGCCGAGCTGAGTCGAGTTTTAGTAATTGCCTTGAGAGACATGTTAGCGTTGCATCTACGGGCCGCATTAAATCGTGAATCACGCAGATTTCTCTGCTTGCGGTCTCGGTTTTTTGCAGGTCTGTTTGGATTGTGTTGTTATAATCGCCTGGGGTATCTCGGAGTCTGTGGGGGTGAGCTTGCCCTTCCACCTCCATGTCTTGCCCTACTCGAATTCGCATTATTTCCATTTTTTTTTAATGAAATTATAAATATATCCTTGAATTTATTTGTTTTTCAGTGCATACATTTCTCTGTTAGAACTACGAAAGCTGTTGGGATAGAGGTTTTGGTCAGCAGTAGTATGGGGGTTACAAATTTGAAATTAATTTATTGACTTTTTCCTGTTTCTTCAGTGACCACTGGTCATCACATGTTCAAATTCAGGCACAGTTTTATTCAGTTTTAGAAAAAAATGCGTATATATATTAGACGGTTCGATTTCATTATTTCCCCGTCTTTTGCTTCAATATTTTTCTATTTTTTACTTCGCAGTTTCTTTTGATTTCTCTTTTAAAATTGCACTTAAAAAGTTGTGCCAATTCATAGTTCGATTCTCCATTTGTACAACTAAAAATTCTCCAGTTGCTTTGGTCAGTGCTGCATTGACTAATGGTCAGTTTGCTGGCGATCCTAACAGTCAGGACAATTTATCAGTTCAGTAATTCTCTGTATTTGAAGGAATTGACAAAAAAAACCGAAAATCGACAGAGATTTCCTTTGTGTTTGTGCTGAACAGTATCTGCTTTGTCTCGAATTTTGTCACTCCCAAACCATGATGAGGTACCAAATCCGACTAGAGGAGTCTTAATCGGTTTTGGTTCTTTTAACTAATAATAATCATTAGAAAAATCATTAAGAAAATTAAGAAAATCAATTAAGAAAATTACTCAAATATTCAGCATGTACTGTGACTTGTGAACTTAAATCCAAACTCAGATGAACCCAATTCCAGTTTAGGTCAGTGATAATTTCATAACCTCATTTCATGCTATCTCTCACGCTATGACGTGTAAAATACACTTCGCACAGCTTCTACCGGACTTGCATAAAATTTGAATTATATATATGGCTGTATTTCTCACAATTCATATATTGCCCATGATTTCTTAATGGGCCGAAACGTCTTATCTCACTCTTACCTTCGCTAATACTTTTCTTTCATGCTGTAATCGATCGCGCTTTCGTCAGTTAGGCCTCCTGGGTTAGCCTGGTTGCTACCATCGGCTTATGCATTTTATATGTATTGCTAATAATTTGATATTAAGTAAACTGCTTGCAGTACACGTAAAATACATGCGTTATGGGCAATATATGAATTGCGGGCAGTACAAGAGCGGCATATGTGTAATTCAAATTTTTATGTTGTAGAAGCGCTACCCAGGTAATATCACTAGCGTGGCATCCCCACAACATTTGTAGGCTATTGCTAATTATAACCTCAGAAATGAGGGAAAAACAATGAATTCACATTATCTATTTTATCGAAAACAAATACTGTATGTCTCTGTGTCTTCTTTGTTCCTCTTCTGTTATTTCGTATGACCTCTGACATTGCCAGTGTTTACCGATAAAATTTCTGTTGTGTTGCTCGGAAGCCCAAGCCAACAACTCAAGGTCGTTCTTGTGATGTTTCTTGCACAAACACTTCTCTTCTTGCACTTCATTAGTTTCCGTCTCATGGATTTTTACGATTTTCTTGTAGGGTAGAGAGGGAGGGGAGGGGGATTTCGACTTTTTTAATTTTCATTTTGCTTCAAAGATCTCACTTTGTGACAGTCCGTGAATTGCCCACAATTTGTGTGGGACATTTCAAATCTCTGTATCGGCTAGTTTCAGTCCATAATAAAAAGTGACGGTAAAAAAAAAATGTATGGTTGTATCAATCACTGTTTTTCGTTTTATTTTGTCGCATATTTCCTAACAAGAAACTTGTTTTTGCGCGAAATTTTACTGCATCAATTACACTTTTCATTTCATTCTATTTTGAGTAACTCTCCTCTGTAGGTGTGTTGTTTTCATCACAGCAAAAAAGTATATTTGGGCTTTGTTCAAAGTACGTTTGAATCATCGCACATGTTCGCCCATTTTCACTTATTGGATGGCTACCTAGGAGTGGGGGAACTTGCAAAAAATTGAGTCTGAGGTGCAAAATTCCGTAGAAAATGAGCAAAATTACTTGGAAATTGATAGCTTGGGGCAAATAATGAGTACCAATCCCTCATTAGCGCTTGTGTACGTTTAAATTCTTGTCACAACCTGTTTGTTCCTCATTATATCGGATGAGGCCCAAAAAAACGAAAGTATCAGCCTCATCGCACAATTTTATTTTCCTCAAATTTCTCGCATTTTGAGTAACATCACTAACATGGGGTACCGACATTGATTTCTCGGGTGGTCTTCATACGACTGGTATTTAAAAATTATTCACTTTATTAGCTGGAATTACAGGATCAATTCGTTAGTCCGGTTCTCCCGGCCGGCCACTTTTTCACTTGTTTTGACCAATATTGTATCATGTAGTGGGCCATGAACTGTGACGATTCTGATGTCCGAATCATCTTCGGAAGAGATTACCAGTTCTACGACTTGCCATTTTCGTCCACTAACTTTTTTTTAATATAGCAGAATTTGACCACAGCTTTCTGTCTGTTACAGCAGTACTTTAGTCTTCATTTTTTCCTTAATTCTTTTTATTATAAAACCTTGCTTGCCAGAGTGGTACCCACGGAAAATTAAACAGCCGCCCGGGTAACCCTTCTTAAGAGGTGGGGGCACTTACACAGAATAGGTAGTGAGTGGTACTCGTTAAAATATGCAGTCATTTGGATAACCGTTACCACGAGGTGGGGTAGTTACATCGAATAGGTGGTGAGTACTCGCTGAAGTATGCAACCTAGGATCGAAGGGTATAGTTGCGCCTGGCATGTGGAAGCATCTCAGTAACATAGTTAACATGCTGTACTCATTTTGATTACCCTAGCGTTCTTGGCATTATTATAAATAGCCATAATCCTTTGGTGGAAAAAACAGTCCCGTAAGGGTGCATTACTTTGTTTCGGTCGTAAATTGATACTGACATTTGTATTAACTCGTAATAAAAACTGTTGCTTTTATAGAAGAAGCCGTCGGCCTCTCTCGACAGCATGTGATTGCTATTGGCAAAATGCCGTGCCTCTCCACCTCGTCATCGGGAGTGAAACGTAATTTGGGACAGGTGAAGAGAGGATGACTCTGATACTTGCACATATATGATTGCACAAATTTGCACTTCCCATCCTGTCAAACGTTTCATTTTGAGCTGTCTTTTCTTCCTTTTCCCTCATACTCTTCAGTTTTTTTTACCTCACTTATACTCCTTCTGGCACCCTTCCAAACCTTACCTTTATGTTATTAGAACTTATAATGTTTCAGTGAGTCGCGTTGTTTGGGAGTCGCATTTCTTCTTGTTATTAATAAGGATGCTAGCAACTTCTTCTATGCTAGCAACTTCTAATAAGGATGCTAGCAATCTCCTCTGTTTTGAGCTTCTCTCATTCACATAATTCCATTTAGGCGTTCAAGAAAATTCTACCGTATTAGCTGCCTCCCTCTTGTTCTTCCGGCATTGCGTGGGTACCAGCAATTCGCTATTTGGCTAAGTGTGAATTAGTCTCATCACAATTGTGACTAATTTGTTCTTATTCAATGTATTTATTCAAATTGTTTAGCTAGCCAAAAAAGACTTTTTTGTTTAATTAAAAGCGTAAAAAAAAAGATTTTGTCTTCTGTTGTTAAAAACTGTGTTGCTGTTGCTATGTTAACGAACAGGCGCAAGTCTTCTTGATGTTCTTTTTTCATTTTTTCAAAAATTCCTCTAATTCCAGGGGAAAGAAAACGAGAATCGAACTAATGCCACATGTTATTCCGGGTAAGGCTGCTTTGCAAAGAAGCACCTTACCACGCCTCTCCACTAGACGACGGCCTGGAAAAAAGGAGTTGGAAAATTTAATAACCAGTTCACAGACACCACGCTCCAAAGCATCAGGAGTACGGGTATCTTTTCCCATCTTTTGTTTTTCTTTTTCGAAAAAGTATTTAGGTATTTTTTTTTTTGGAACTTTGGAAAATATCTCTTTTTCGTGTCAAAAGTTGGCATAATTGAGTAAAAGTAAAACGAACATAAATATAGAAATAGCAAGGGCTACTTATTGTACATTACAGGCTTTGGCATTTGATGGTCCATCTATCGGTTCGACAACTGGCAGCAGCAGTGGTAGCACAGCTTCAATTACGAGTCCTGAAATACCGCGCATGAGTTCACGTGAATCACCAAGTACTGCTGACACGACCGAGGCAACCGCTGAACAGTTGTTTTGTGGTACTCCACGTACTAATGGCGCTACCGCAACTATGAACACCGTGTCAAATGATGCACCAGCAAGTAACTTTTCTAATTATTAACTTTGCCTCTTATGTGTTGAACTATTTGGTTTAGTTGCAATTCTTAGTTTATTTCTCTGGTTAGGCAATTGGCCACTTTTAGTTGCTTTGACCAGTGCTGCATTACTTGGTGGTCAGCCTGCCGGCGATCCTAACACTCGTTATTTGAATGAATTACGGGCTCAGCTTTTTTTCGGGCAGAGATATTTGGCAATGTTTTAGCCGCTCCTAAATGCCCTCGGTGTATTTTGAGCATCACTACCCCGTTCGAAACATTACCCTTCTTAATCGCGATGAGGAGGATGATACCTATTTTAATGAAAAGGAAAAAAAAAGAGGAGGACAAATGAAGTGATCGAGAATAATTAAGTGACCAAAAATAAAAAATTTTTTATTTTCAGGCACATCAGCTTCTGAAGTTTCTTCGTCCACGCCAGCGGTTGCAACAAGCCCACAGCAGCAATCATCATCATCATCCACACCTCATAATCCGATGACACCAGTGCCATTTCGATGCTTTCCGGGTGGCAAAGCGAAGCGTGTTCGATTTTATCGTAATGGAGATCAATATTTTAAGGTGATTTCGCGCAAAATTTTTTTGGAATTGTCCTTCAAAAAAATCGCGGTTTCTTCTTTTTGGTGGTTTTCGGAGGTTTTTTGTATGTTTTTTGCTTCTTACATATTCTTGGGAGCAGCTGTCAATTCACAATTTGTTCCTCCATATGTGCAGTCGGCACTTTTTTCATCTATTATGGCCTTGTTTTTTACGCATTCACACCATTCCAAACATTGGAGGTACTAGATCGATCAACCGTATCGGTGGTCTTCAGTGCTGTTCTTTTAACACATCGTGGGTATCATTCAGTTGTTCGTTTCGTCTGTCTGTTATCTCTCTTGGAAATTTCCTTTCTGAGTATTCTGGGATTTATTGCAAAACCCCCACAATCCCGAGAAAAATAAACGCGGCTGCCAGTACTTAAATTTCATCTAGGATGTGTGGTGTGCACTTTCGAACTTTGAATTTTGGATTTTTATATTTCCTGTGAATTAAAATATTTTTTGGTTTTTTAGGGCATGTGGTATGCAATATCTGCAGAGCGAGTACGCTCATTTCAAGCTTTGCTTGGTGATTTAACAAGAACAATGACTGATGCTGTTAATTTGCCACATGGTGTACGTCATATTTTTTGTTTGGATGGCAGCCATAAATTATCGTCGCTGAGTGAATTTGAAGATGGTGAAGGTTATGTTTGTTCAAGGTACCATTTTATCAGTGTTTTTTTTCTTTTTCGTCAACATTACGATTACGATTTTCTAAAGCCAATTTTTGTAAAAGGACTTTTTCCTATCGTAGATTTTAGAAAGAATTTCAGATATTTAACACATTGCAAGTTGGAAAAGTTAAAATCCCCTCGGTATTTACCGTCTATGAGAAGTGGAGCGATTCGAACGGGAAACACCCCGAGTAGTAGCACATGCCAACAGCAGTCACGCGCTGTTTATGTTGTCAGTGGCGCTCCCTCTTTCGAGAACTGCTTGTAAGCAAGCCTGTTGGCTGATTTGGCTCCCTAGCGTACGCTTGGATCAAATTACCATCGAAACGAATGAACGAATCGTAGAGAGATTGGTTATCACACTGGTGAGGCCTAGCCCCGACCCTCAGCGCTATTTGTTACTAGGCCGAAATTGCTAGCGATTAATTATAAATTCGATGTTTGTGGTACTAATTTGCTATGTAACTGTAAAAAAAAACGAAATTCCAGCGAGTCGAGCACGCAAACCATGAAAAACTGTCCATTTCCCAAATTTTTATCTGTATAAAATGGCAAAAAACAACTTTCAGCTCAGAAGTTTACAAACGTGTGGATTATGAGAATGCTCGTGAACCAACATGGTGCATATCGCTTGCGGGTTCTTCACCGATGCCATTGCCGGTGCAATCGCCACTCAAGCAGGCATGCTTTTTTCCCTCTTTTTGAAATTTGGTTTTTGAATAATATTTATAGAATAAAAATTTTTTGATTTTTTCAGATTTTTTTGAAGTCTGTCAAATCTTTTTGAAGTTTTTAATTAATTTATCCCTTTTGGTTTTAAATCCACGAGTTTATTTGTTTCGTTAGTTGATGCAAATTTCGAAACTGAAGAAGCAGATGTTTCAGGAGCCAAATGATTTTGTTTATCCACGAATTATCACAATCATTAGGAATGGCGTAAAACCACGTCGTGTTGTGCGGCACCTCCTAAACAAGCGCACCGCTCGGTCATTCCTACAGGTATTTTTAAAATTTTTTTGACTTTACACCATCATAAAACTGATGAAACGTCTACATTTCATAGTTTGATTCCCCAACTATGCAGCCGGACAACTTTTGCCCAGTTGGTTTGATCACTGCTGAGTCTGCTGGTGGTCAGCATACCGGCAATCTTGTTGTTGGTTTCCTCTTTTGAAAGGATTATCACAGTTCATGCTTGTGCAACTCTGTTCAAGGGGAACCTTTGTTTGATACGTTACATGTTAATTTTGACGCCAGGCCTTTAGTGGCAGGGCTTTTAACTGTTCTGAGAAATGTACTCGGTGTGTAGTGAACATCACGGCTTCATCCTTTATACCGGCACTACTAGAATACGATGAGGTATTTTACCGATTGGGGGAAGAGCTCTGAAAAGAGGAACAAGTGCGAATTTTTGTCCTTATTTTTCTGAGACGTGTAAATTTTATTTGTACTTTTTGCTCTTTGTGGTCTGTTTTTCATGGATAAATTTTGTCCTTGAAGAATGCAACGGACAAGGAAGAAAGGCTTTTTTTTCCACAGACACGGGGAGTCGTCGTTTCATTTCGGGAATCACCTTTTGTTAACCGCTGGCATGCAGAGGAACGCAGTGTCTCGTCTTGTGATGAAGATATTTGATGAATGGAAAACGGAATTGTTGCATTTGTAAAGAACGAAAAATCGAAAGTCGGCACCTTTCTGTTTTGATGAAATTGCACCCAAAAAATCACGCAACTTTGCTGTTCCAGGTAATCCAAGATATAACAGTTGTCGTGAAGCTGGACAGCGGTGCAGTTCGGAAACTCTACGCACTGAGCGGTAAAGAGGTAAATGTTATCCGGAATCGGAGAATACTTTTATACAGCGCACTAAAAGTTGTACGAACAAAAATATATTTTCATTCATCACGTACAATAACAAGAGCAAGAATCGTTATTTTAATTAAATTCGAAATGTTGTTTTTACGATCAAACACACTGTATTTAAAATCACTTTTGGGTAGACCAGCATCGGAGCGGCTTCTTCACATGTATTAGTTTCGATAGTCTTCCTGTGTTCACATATTCACGCCGGCGCAAAATTTGCATTTGGTACCACCATCAGCACGGTCGACTTTTTCGCTTGTATTGTTTATTGTTCACGAATTCTTTGCCGGTCGTTCCTTTTTTCCTGTCTCTGTTTGTACTTGATTCTCCAGCTATACAATCTATCATCGTTTGCTGCTGCTGCTGTTGGTCAGCTTTCTAGCGATCCTGAATTTTTCTGAGCCAAAAAGAGGCCGTTTATAATTACCGTTAAAAATTAAGCACTGATCGAAATCGAATTATTTTTAGTGCGTCGTGCACCTCAAAATTTCACTTTTTCTGAGAAGCAAAAGTAAGAAGCGTTGCACTATATCTTACGCTTCTCCTGCTGCAGCATTAGCTTCAAGAATCTCGTGCCTCCACTTTGATGTGCGCATATCCATTCGATCCCAGCAGACTGGATGACAGTTACTTTGCTGGCACATCTTTTTCCTCTGTATTAGTTTCGACAGTCTTTCTACTATGCATTCTCTTCATTTCAGTGCACATTTGCATTTGGTACCATTATTATGACATGATTTTCTTCCTCACAAAACAGCTGCCACTTCATTTTCTCTTTTTTCTTCCATTGTTTTTTTTTCTAATAGTCTGATTACTTTTTTTTACGTTGCCTGATCATTACCCACAAAATTTCATTCGTTTTGAGAAGCAAAGCAGGAAGCACTAGCGCTTCATGTGTTCTTCCCTTGCTTCGGCACTCTCTTTTATGCTAATATGCACAAATCGGCGCCTCCCTTTCCATTTGGTGCCGACACTTTTCACCTCATTTTTCCGTGTATTACTCTCGCAGTTCTTCGTACACATTCACTTTTATGCACATTTGCATTTGGTACCACACTGCCATTCCTTCCTTTTTCGTTTCATCAATTTTCATAGACTTCTTTTGTTTTACCTGCTGCTCATAATCGCCGCTAGAATTTAAAATTAATCATCAAAATTGAATTACTTTGGACTCTTCCAAATTCACATTTCTTAAAATTTTCCAGCTCTTCATGGGACCCAAAAGTAGGAAGCACTGGCTTATCATCCTCTTTCCACGCATTAGTTTCGACAGTTGCTATAAATTCGTTCCAGTGCACATTTGCATTTGGTACCACTAGCGTAATTTTTCCTTGCAACTTTCCAGCTTTCGTAGACAAAACTTCTCCATAGCTTTTTCCGTTTTTTTCCTGACAGACTGCCCATGGTTGTCGTTAGAGTTTAAATAAAAAAGTCATCAAAATCGAATTTCTTTGTAAGCGGCGGCCAAATCGCACTTTTCTATAATATTTCACCGGTTTTTTCCTCACGCAGTTCAAAAGCAGGAAGCGTCACCATCTTGTGTTTTCGTTTTCTTCCAACATTCATTAGTTTCGACAGTTTTTCTTTTTACTGTTTTCAAATCGGCGCACATTTGCATTTAGTACCTCAAGCACTATTGGTTTCTTCCCATTTTAGTAGTAGTTTAGACGGTTTTTGTACCATATTACTTCCGGTGCACATTTGCATTTGGTACCACTTCTATCATCTTCACAAGTCCGCTCTTCTCATATAGCTCTCATAGGCCACCTTCCTTTGTTTCTTCCAATTCTTTCTCAAAAATAATTGTTGTTTTTAGTTCAGGGCTGTTAGCGCGCCTCACGTGAAAGCTTCCATCACAATTCTCTTCTGCAGTTCACATGAAAAATTAGAGGAAATCAGGGAACTCTCGAAACATTTGATGAAGAGAAAATGGAAAGGCCGCCAAATTTTTGAACAAGCATTTCTTTCTTCATTCTTCTTTGTATTTCCCATGCTCTGGCCATCACCGTCCTCTTCGTTTCACGTGCGAGCCAGAAATGAGGGAACTCGAAATAACGCACCGACGAA